GCCAGTACATAAAATACTACAAATCCACATAACAAACAATCAAAAATGAGAAAGGGTTCGCCACTTATTATTATTTTAAGAAAAAAAAAAAAAGTAAAGAATTTTGTTTTTGTTTTTGGTACCTGGCTGTCGCCCCCTAGCAGCGGCGCTCATATTTCATCAGCGGCGCTGCGCCGCCACTATTTGTATATAGGGGAAACACTGCATTTAATTTGTATTAATTACTTAGGATCATATACCTGTGTCTAGTCTAGAAAATGGAAAATGTGTGCATTTGATTGTAAAGTTTTGTTTATTAACATGGACTGTTGCAAAACCAAGCAGCTTATAAACATCTGATTTAAATACACAAAGAGGTTTGCAAAAAATAAACATAATTTAAGATTCTTTAATATTTAATTTAGTTATAATTTATTATTTCTTGTCCAAGAGATACTGATTTGAAACCGTTGTTTTACGAAAAGTTACATACTTTTCCTGTTTCTACCAGAAAGAGGAGAGTTTCTCCCAAAGCATGCCACTTAATGTACCCCCTGGACCAGAAAGAAGAACGCCTCGTTGAGTGTGACTACAGACGGAGTTCACTCAAAGTGCGTGTTTTTTTTTGTGGAATTGGGCCATTGTGTGACGGTGGCTTTCACTACATATTGCATGCGTTCAGCCACTTGCCGTCCTGCTTTACAAGTCTTTATCAACATTAGGCTTCTGTGTTTTGCCAGGAATGATCTGTAGCAGTGAGAGGTTGTGGCGGCCCCATCAGTAGCTGTCACCACGGCGGGGGACCTTCGGACCTCCGTCTGCAGGGTTGTCATCTACCTCCAAAGGGACATGTCCGGGGACAGCTGCCTGCCCCAGCATCACACCCTGTCCCACTCCACCTCCTCAGCCCCTCTTCTGGCGTGTCCCAAGACCAAGACCTGCAGTTACCGAGGAGCGGTGGGCCTGGGCAACAAGTATGTCCGGATCAACGTTGGCGGGACCCTGTTTTACACCACACTGCAAGTGCTGACCAGGCTCGACTCCATGCTGAAAGCCATGTTCAGTGGAAAGAAAGAAGTGTTCATTGATAAAGACGGTAAGTTACTAATTAAAATATATTACTCATGTCCATAAACATGTTATTCTGTTATATCTTCTCCACAACACATAGAGACGAGTGTCGCCATTTTAATGTTCTGTTACTTGTATCTCAAACTTGTAAAAAGTGGTATATGTCAGAGGAAGGGTAAGAAAAACGTACGTAGGAACGGCAACCATTTTGTAAAGACACAAAACCAGTTTTTTTAAACGTTAAAGAGGAACATTTTGTCTCCAAACTGTACATGTCCCATGCTTTTAATGTTCAAAAAAGCTCTTATTTTTCCTCATACTGCCTGTGTTGCAGCACCTCCTCTTTCACCCTCTGTCTGAAACCAGAGCCCAGTCTGCTCTGATTGGTTAGCTGGCCAGCTCTGTTGTGATTGGTCAACCGCTTAAAGATGTTCGCCTCTTAGACTATCACATACAATGTGGTAGAGCACTGGCCAATAGAGTCATTTTAGCCCTGCTGAGATGTGTTGAGAGCCATTAATGGTGTTTTAAGTAGCCTGTGTGCATTCTAACTAGCCATACTACCCCAATACATTCAATATTAGAAGCTAAGCAGGGTCTAGTCGGAAGATGTTATTAACAAGACATTACCGATTAAAATTCAGGACAACCTTTAATAGTTACCCTTCATATCATGACTGATTACAAGTGTATGTTTACAACATTTATGACTTCACATAGTGGTTGCTCATTATGAATACAAGAGGAAAGAAATTACTAAAATAACATAAAAAAGAATAAAAAAATGTATTTGCTGTAATGTTGAGTCTACATGTTTTGGTTTATGCCACATTATTGTACACCTTGGCTTAGAGATGTATTTCTCAACACAGTCTGTTGTTTCTGTTCAGGTTGGATCCTGATCGACCGCAATGGGAAACACTTTGGCAGCATCCTGTGCTTCCTGCGCGACGGCACAGTCTCCTTACCCAAAGGCCGTCAGGCTGTCCAGGAGCTACTGGCTGAGGCAAAGTATTACCTCGCCCAAGGCCTGGTGGAGCTGTGTGAAAACTCCCTGCAGGTCAGTCACAACCACACTGACAATTCTATACAGCTCTAAAAGACATTACACATTTGTTTGAGGGGGTTTTACAATGTGTATTGATAAGACACCCTCGGTCCTTAGACCCTAACAGTGGAAAAGCAAAACTCTCAAAGAAACTCCAAATTGAACCGGTAGAAACATTTAGAAATACCACAGAGGAATTACATAGGAGGGATAACTCTCACTTTACGGACAGATGTGCATTTATTGTCGTGTGTGTAGAGTAAAAAATATAATGAAATTGTAATTTATGAACAATCCAAATTAGAATACTGTATTTTAGAAAAGATGGAGCCAGGAGGATGTCAACAATCTTCCACCAAAAATGTACGTTTACTAAAACAATTATATGCCTCTTGGCTTTGATGGAAAAAAAGTTTGCTTCACCTTGCTTGGAAGAACAGTGAATGCATCATACGGGCTGTACCCGAATATTCGACTATTCGAATATTCGTTCGTTGGCCAACTATTCGGGTTTCAATTTCATTATTCAGATATTCGTTTTTTTTCAAATTTTTCTTTCTTTTTTTTTTTTTTTACATTTTTTTTTTCTTCTATATTTATGCTATTAATAAAGGCGAATTGCCATATTCTTATACTATATTTATACTTTTGAATTGCACTGTTAAAATGCGGAAATATATACAATCTCAGCCTGTGCTCCTGACATCGCGTTCACTCACACTAACGCAAACCGCACGCTTCACCTCGCTTCACCGACAAAATGCCTAAGACTTCAGCTGTGTGGGACCATTTTAAATTGGACGACGGTAAGAAGAATATGTGCCAAATATGCGACAAGAA